TGGGGTGTTAGGATCTGCCGCCCTTAACAACAAGGCTCATGACACTGGGATTTTGGGGCAGGATTTCTAAGATGGCATCTTTGGACATATTCTCAAGAGCTCACAGTTTTCTAAGAACTTCTGAACTTTGACTATGTGTCTCAACGATTACCCTAATTAATATAGACCTTCTGGGTGCCAATTTATCACAAAGCACTGTTATGTGTGCATCTGTGACAATCACAGGACATCCTGCAGGGATGAAAGGTTCTCCATGGCTCAGAGAGGAAAAACTGGCAGGAGAATGGAACCATCACACAACACACAGTATTGACAAGTCAACTTGACAGTATCGAACCACTGAGCAGTGTAGTCACATTGCAGGTGGGATTTGACATGAATCCAGTCTGCAAACGTAGCTACTTGCCATAGCTGATGAGCATCAAGTGTGGTAATCAATACCAAGGGAAGAATATTTTCCCCACAATACCTGACACTCACCTCACCTTCAAGTTCATGAGCCAATTCTAGAGTTACCAAGTGACAGCCTTGAAAACTGACATTCACAGGTCGCTTGCTGTGCCTTGTGCTTAAGGGCTGGTTATCCTAAACTAGCAAACTCTTGACATATTTAAATGCCATTTTGTACACATACATGTAATTAGACATTCTCAGCATAAGCATTATCAAAATCAAAATTCAAAAGGAGCCTAAATAAAGATTAGAATTCCAGAGTAATGAAAACAGTAAGAAAAAGATAACTATTGGGCAGACGATGCACCCGGCGTGCTTCTGTTTTTTATATGACGGATCTCATGTAAGAAACTATTCCCTTCAACCATTGGCAGCCTCCACCCCCAACCAACCCTGCCTCTTGATTTTCATGCACTTGTATAATCCAAACCCCTACCCTGCCCCGAGCATGGGCTAGACCTAGACTCACTTCTTTTTTACTTAAGTAATCTCTACACCCAATGTGGAGCTCAAACTCATGACCCTAAAATCAAGAGTTGCATGTTCTATCGACTGAGCCAGTCAGGAGTCCCTAGACTCACTTATAATGAATAGAGCATGGCAGAAGTGATAAGATATCACTTCCAACACTGGGTTATAAAAAGCCTGTGGCTTCTAGGCTTTTATGGATGCTTTCTCAATCTCTCTTGGATCATTCACTCTTGGGGAAGCCAGCTGCTCAGCCATGAGGCAGCTTTGTAAACAGGCCCATACAGTAAGGGTCCAAAGCCTGCAAACAACCACAGGAATGAGTTTGGAAGTGAATCCTTCCCTCTTCCACACCATGACCCTTCAGATGAGACCACAGCCCCAGGCAACAGCTGGACAACAACCTCATGAGAGACCAGATTCAGGAGCACCCAGCTGAGATGCACCCAGATTTCTGACCAACAGAAACTGAGAGATGATCGTTTGTTGTTTGAAGCCACTGCATTTTGGAGTAATTTGTTACACAGCAATAGATAACCAATACAACCATTCAACATCAGTGGCTGAGTTTGAAAAAAATTACATCATGTCAAAATTTAGTTGCTACATTTGTACTTTATGATTTTATTATAAACTTAGTTTGATTTTTTGAGTTGTGTTATCCATACACAGTTACATTTATTATAAGTTTTGTTTATACTTTTTTAAGTCACCTTTTGATACAAATAACTTAAGACAACACTGGAAGGCTGCAATACATTGCTTCAAGAAGTCCTATCTTGCTATATTTTGAGAAACACTAAGGATGTGTGTGTGTGTGTCTCATAAGTCCCTCCTGTGCCTGACCCTCCTGCAACCCAGGTGTGATCTCTTCAAAATGCAAATCAGATTGTATCTGTTTTGTTTATTGCATTCCTAATGTTTGGCGCATCTGTGAATGAGTGAAATGACTGTCATGACCTGATTTAAACCCTCCAATAATTCCCTGTTGCTCTAGGGATAAAGCCCAAATTCTTCATGATGGCCCAGAGGCTTTTCATGGTTCACCTCTGCAACCTCCTCATCCTCACACCCACCCCTATCCCTCACCCCCTCGGCCCAGAACCGCCATGACCTCTGTCCCTCTCCCAGCACACTCCTCCAGATCCTTGCCACTCTTAGGAATCTTAAATATCCATCGCCCTCCCAGCTGTTACACACCTGCCATTAAACAGTGCTCTGAAGTTTGGTCCCCATCTCTGCCACCAGGAGAGCAGGGAAAGTGTGCTTCTTCTATACCCCATCCCTGGTGTGCAGCACTGGCCCGACACACAGTAGATGCTCCGGGAATCTGGGCTGAATGAATGGGTGACCACTACATCAGTCTGTTGGAACCCCATCTTCACCCTGGAGAGCCTCAGGAGGATGAATCAGTTCACCAACCAGGAAGGCAGCACAGGGTGGAGCCCAGCCAGACTTGGTCAAGAGATGGGAGCCCTGAGGGTCAAAGATAACTTCCCTGGAGTTGGCACCAAGTCATCGGGAAGCAGGAATTTCTGGTCCAACATTCTCCTCACCCACCATTCAGGTTAACACAGAGAAGGTTTTTTTCCAGTAGCTGAATTAAGAGGATCTCTCAAACCCCCTCCTTGTCGTGACACTGGAAATACGGCAAGAACGAGGATCTTCAGAGCCATGACCACTAAGCTCAGATTCAGCCTCTGATGCCGCTAACTGGGTCCTCCTTGGCCCCCCGTCTCGACCACATGTCTCCGCCTGGCCACTCTGCTTTCTTGTTCCCAATCATACCCCAGACCCTGGATCTCCGATTAAACATCTCTTGGTTTCTCTGTCATCTGTTGGCCTCCTCCACGAACTTCGTTTTGTACACAGCTGTATCCTTAGCGCCTGGCCCCACCTGTGAGCCTCCATGTCCTCATCTATCATATGATTATAGTAATAAAACTGACCTCGGCACAGAGAGACCCAAAAGAAGACACAGCAAGTTCTCAGTAATAATTAGTATTATAAATAAGGTGGCTGGGCAAAGTGGTGGGGGGGGGGGGCGTTCAGAGGCTGCCCAGAACACTGCATACAACAAGTGCTTATAAGAGAGAGTTAAAAAAAAAAAAAAAAGAGAGAGTTACAACTCTTGTAGAAATGATCACTGTGATCACACTTGGCTTCTTTTTCCACTTTTCTTGGCAAAAAAGGGTTCAAATGGGGGGAAGTAAGTTTGAGAGCAAAGGAGATTTAGGCTCTGAGCTGAGCTGGTGGCAAACAGGTCGCTTCCCCACCCCATCACACCCCCAGCTCCTGTCAGTGCAATCTCCTGGGTTTGTACCAGGAGCCTTCAGAGATAGAACATTTTGTTTCTCACCCAGTCTTTGCTACCGGCGACCTGGGTCACCAGTCTCCCCTCCACTCCCCACCGCCATGTCACCCATCACCCACCCTTCAGGGTGCTACCCAGAACATCCAGGTCCACGACCAGGTGGGTGAGGCCCCCCAGGTTGAAGACCTGTCATACCCTTGAGGACCCCTCACAAAAGATCTGGAGAAATGAAGTGCACTTTGGTGCAGAGGTCAAATTCATGCCAGCATCTCTAGTCATGTTACATCACCCTCATACCTGGGACACCTGGACATCCTATTAAATCTAATCATAACCAACTACACATCAGGAGTGTTGAGAAAATACCCAGCATGATGCAAAAACCAAAAGATAGGAAGAAAAAAATAGAAAAAGTAACGAAGAAAAGGCAACAGTATTGACAAACTGACTTCAAACTCGTTTAGCAGAACCCAGGGCGTGACACGTGGTCTCTAGAAATCGATCTCAGCAAAATAATCAAACTCCACATTCAATCCATGTTGAACCCACACGTCACTTCAGAAACAGAGATGATGTGAGAACGGCTAGTTACACAGCCCTGTGGTCCTACCGCCCTGGAGCCGGAATTCTCTTGCTAACCTTCATGTATAAAATACTATTTTTCTAATGCACAAATATTTAGGAATCATACCACCAAACCGTTTTGACTGTTGTCATTCTTTGGGAGGAAAATTAAATAGTTTAAACCAAGTTGTTTTTCCATCTGATCTTTTCCATTAAAAAGTAAATGTAAAAAAAAAAAAAAGTAAATGTAACTGGGAGGTTTCCCTTCCCCAGTCAGACGGCCATGACAAAGACTGTATTCTCCTGAGCACACCCAAGGCACTATTTCGGGAATTTTATTTTTGAATGACTGATTAGGCTGAAAAGAAAAAAAGTGCAATGCCCCCGAGATGCTTCTGCGGGAATTCAGCGCTCTCTGCTCTCATATCCTGCGAGATGCAAAGCTTATACTCTTACAAAGCTATGGAGAAAGGCGCCGGGTCATCCACTGAGCCTGGCTTCACCAAGTGGAAGGGCTTTTTTTGGACAGCTGTGTCAGTTCAGCCGCTGGGAAACCCCTCCTCTCCCCAACCCTCCCACAACCCAGCCTAATAATCCTGTTGATTTATCCTAGAGGGTCCCGTGGAGGTTTCAAAATTAACACACAAACCTGAGTGCTTTTCAAAACTGTGTTGGAGATGTAGGAAGCAAAGCTGGGAGGCCTGGCTGCTCTTTACCCGATTTCCACCATTATTACTACTATTACTGCTAAAACATTTTCCCCAGGTGTTGCTTTTGTTGTTTTTTACATCCCTTTGATTTTTTTTCCAATTCAAGTAACTTAAAAAAAAAAAAAAAATCCATATAGCAGCCCGAGTGCGGGGACCTAGAAATTTAAATTCTCTGGAGTCAGAGAAACCCAGGTGAAGTTCCTAGCTGGGTCGTTTGCTAGCTGGGTGCGTTTTAAGGCACTCGTGTAACCTCTCTCTGCCTCAGTATCAAATCCACAAAATGGGCTGTCCTAAGAGACTTAAATGGCGCGAGCCCGGCTCAGGGCAGAAATGGGAGCTGGCGTTGCTCCAAAGTCGGTTTCTTTCCAGAGCCAGGGGGCAGGGGTACGAGTTGCTGGAGCGCAGCACGCGGACGGGGTCCCGGGGGAGGGTGGGCTGCGGTGGGGCGGAGAGTCAAATCGCACGGCCCGCGCCCGGTCGCCCAGACTCACCAAAATTTCCAACTCGCTCCTCTCCAGGGGCTCGTACGGGTGGCCCGCGCCCGAGAAGGCGAGTTTCTGCAGGAACTGAGAGAAGCGTCTTTCGACCATGATGACCAGGCGGAGCCCCCTCACTCAGCCTCCCGTCCGCCGGCGGCCGCCCCTGCCCGCGGCCCTCGGTCCCTGGCGTGGCCGGGACTGGCTGCGCGCGCCCAAACCTCCAGTGCCAGGCCGGGGTTACCAGGTAGCCGCCTACCTGCCCGCCGCAGGTGGGGCCCCGCCCTCGGGGCGGAGCGGCGCGCCCGGCTGCACCCGGCGCACCTGGCCCGGCCCCGGGAGCTAGCCGTGGGCTTAGCGCCGGCGTCTGAGAGCTCGGGCTGTTTCCCAATCTTGCCAGATCCTAAGAATCACCTGGAGCGAGGGATGGGGTGGAGGTGGGCCAGCGAACGCTTGTTGAAAATGCGGATTCCCGGACGTCGCCTTACCCTGTGTCGCTGGGTCTGGAGCTGGCCGGGGAGCTGGACTGTAATGAGCGCCCGGTGGTTCTGGGGGGGTGGGGGGTGGGAAGCGGAGGGCGGTCAGTCCTAAGGCCCTGGGAGCACCGCGGACCGGAGCTGAGTCAGACTCCTACCAGTGCTGTGCGGCTCGGGACGAGCCACGTGGCCCCTTTGAGCCTCGGTTCCTCGTCTGTAATTGAAGGAGAAGGCTAAGATCTCACCCTCAGGGAGAGCCCTGGGAGTGCATCCCAGGATGGGGAGGAGAGCTTGAGGACCCCACTGCCTTTGGGATCCGTGTGGGTCTTGGATGATCTCTAAGCAGATCCTTTGCAGAATGGGCTCCTGCACTTGCTAATCATGGGACCTGGGGCAGGCGTCTTACATTTTCCGAGCCTTAATTTACCGATCTGTAAAATGCCCACCGTGTTAGCACTTCCTTCATAGTGAAATGGAGGGTATGTTGCTGGTATCATCATCATCATAGGGAAGTTGCTGGACTCCACTGGCTCCCAGAGTAGATGCGTGAATGTGCCTCCAAGTGGATGTCCTGAAACTGTGAGGAGCTTTGGCTCCAGGTGGCACTGGAATCCATAACAAGACCCACCACTTAGGAGGGAGGTGGCTTTGGGGAAGGCTGTGCCCCTCCCCTGTGCCTCAGTTTCCTTATCTATGGAGTGGGCTTCTTAACTATAAGAACTATAGAACATGACATGGGCGTTTGTCCATTACATGCTGCTGCCCTTTTTGAGCAAATATATGCCACCTCTACCTCAACTCCCACCGCGTGTCTACCTCACCTCCATTCAATCCGACAGGCTCTTCTGGTGGCCCTTCTTGTTTCTCCTGCATCTTGTCCCTTGACTGCAAGAAAACAGGCCACCAGCGTCATGCTGCCTGGCTCCACCAATTTCAACAAAGGCCTAGGAATAATAGAAAAAGCAAAATTCTGGCACGAGTTGGTCCAGCTTTGAATCTCAGGCTTGTTCCTTCCAAATGCAGGGCCTTGGGCAAATTTCTTCACCTCTCTCCACCTCAGTTTACTCCTCCACAAAATGGGGATGGCACTACCTACCCCTGAGTAGGGTCCCAGCGGGAAACAGGTGGCACCTTCAACCTGAGTGATTTGGGGAGAGTTTGATAACCATACTATGTACAAAAGTGTGGGCAGGGTGCCAAGAAACATGAAGGGATTGTGCAGCTGCCCAAGAGTAGCAACAGTGAGAAATTGCTACCATCCAAGGCTTGGAAGGCAAGAGGAGGGAGCAGTTACCCAGAGAAGGTAGCTGTATGGAGCTGAGAACTGCAGTGAAGGGAAACGGGATGGAAGCCACAGACGCAGACTCCTGGGTTGAGAATCCCAAGGAGAAGGCAGGAGGGTGGAGAGAGGGTCTGGGGGAGCAAAGGGGAGCTACAGGGAACCAACCACACGGTCCTGTAATGTTTGCATAGGTAGAGTTCCTAATAGTACTATCTAGTCCCTGACACAGTAGGTCCTCAGGAAATTTTATTACTAATATAAAAGATACATGGGAACTCAGCGCACTTATTTCTCAGTCCTTTCCAACTGGCATTCCGAGATTTTGAGATAGTATTGGATCCAGGGAGGAAGAATGCCTTGTTGGCATAGAACTTCATATTCTCCTAAGGGTGTCAATCAGGCGTGGTTCCTCCAGGCGGTGCAGCCTCCATGAGCAGGGAGTGATGTGTTGGCCAGGTGCCTTTCCCTTTAAGCCCAACCTTTGGCATCCCATCACAGTGGTCTCTGCTCCAGCTCAGAGATGTTAAGGCTAGAATTTGTGGATCAGGTTTAAGAACACCTAGAGCATTCAGGAAGGAAACTCTGGGTAGATGATATTGTGGAAGACCTGGACCTGTTGGCATGAAAAACAAAAATGGAGTGGACCACAGAGAAAGCAGTTAAAGTTATGTGACTGGGAGCAGCTGAATGGGTACCTTTAGGCTTAAGCTTATTTGATTTTCGTTTTTGTGGCATTGTGATCAGTCTGCATACCTGTCTGCTAATTCTCTTAATGTGTTGAGACTTCGTCTGGTTTTTACACAATTTTTGTAAATATTTCAATGGCACTAGAAAAGTTGTATTCTTTGTAAGGGTATTGGTAAGCTGCACTCTTCTTTGCAAATCAGTTCTGTGTCTATTCATCCCAACTTTCTAGTGACATTGTTCATGTCCTTACTTTTGACTACTTGATCTGACATAGGAAGAAAATGAAGAGTTTAAAATTTCCCAGTCTAATTGCTTTCCTGTCCATTTCTTTCCTTGTATGTCTGAAGTTCTGCTTTTTGTATTGTGCTTCCCTGTTGTTTAGTGCATATAATTTACCTGCTCATGATGACTCTTGTAATTGTTTATTTTTTTATTTTTATTTTTTTAAAGATTTTTTTTATTTATTTATTTGAGACAGAATGAGAGACAGAGAGCATGAGGGAGGAGGGTCAGAGGGAGAAGCAGACTCCCTGCCGAGCAGGGAGCCCGATGCGAGACTCGATCCCGGGACTCCAGGATCATGACCTGAGCCGAAGGCAGTCGCTTAACCAACTGAGCCACCCAGGCGCCCGATGACTCTTGTAATTGTTTAATGCCTCCTGTATCTCATTAAAACATATGCCTTAAATTCCACTTTGTAGAATTACTATTGCCAGTGTTTCTTCTCCATGGTTTAAGTCTGCATGATCTAAACTTGGTGTCTTATTTTTATCTGTTTTGTTTCATTTCCCCCTAGAATGTAAGCTCTGTGAGAGCAGGGGACTATTACATCTTCATCATTGTGTGTCTGCTTAGTGTCTACCATGGTAGATGAAGTTCCTGCAACATGTTAAATGCCCCCCAAATATTTATTTGGTGTGTGTCTCTCTCTCATAAACTGTAGCTCTTGAAATTTATTCTTAATCTGAGATTATTTGCTTTATAATGTGGAAATGTATTGTCTACATTGTTATAGTTGTTACCATTAGACTGACTTCCATCATCCTCTTTCATGTTTTATTTCCATGCCATTTTGAGGCAAGCACTCTCCTATTTGCTGTCATCTTTTACTTTGATTTCAGAATAAACATCCCGCTGAAAATTCTATCAGGAATCTGAAAGCATTTCAGAAATAGAGACAAATATTTATACAATCTGTTTTCATTTCTTTTTACAGTGTAAAGGAGTTTTTTCATTTTCATTTTTCTTTTTCTAACCTTTGCTTTTTTTCATACTCTTAGTAATTTAATCTGATTACATAAACCTTATTTTTTTTCTTGTTGTTGTTGTTGTTGTATATTCTCCACTTTCCCCCAGAATCACACCTCCTCTTTATATTTGTTTTTGAACATCCATTCTTAGCTCTGTCACTTTGTTTGGATCCCATGATCATCACCACTGACTTCAAGATTGTTTCCTTCAAGAGTTTTCTTACTGCCTTTAGCTGGCCAAATTCTAAAGTCCACTCTGAAGGAATCAAGTCAGGCAAGATGGTTTGCTGGGAAACTTTCTGAATTTGTGGCCCTGACAGTGATGCCCATGCTTTGGCCTGTATTGAGAGTCAAGGGCAGGACTCAGCCAAAAGCATCCAGCCTTTCCTGAAGTATCTGCTCTGGGCATCTTGAACAATGAGGTCACACTCTTCAACTCTCATTCACTATATGAAAGTGGTGTCATTTCATTTCCATAAATTATCTCCCAACAATACACCCTACTGGAAAGATGTGATGCAATCCCCAGGCACCTGAAATTTATTTGGTAATGAACTTCACTCACAAATTATAAGGTTGGCATTTTGAAGGCATCCTTTTCCGAAAGGGTACACCATACAAAGGGTATTGTGTGGCCTGTGTGTGCATGTGGGTGTGCATTTAATTTTAAGAATTAGTTTTAAGTTATGGCTCTTTATGCAAATCCTCAATTCTGTTTGTTTTTTTAATGGTCATGCACACAGGCAATAATATAATCATTTTATAGATGAAGAAATTGGAATTTTAGGGAGGGAAAGTTACTTTCATTCATTCAGCAAATAGTTTTAAGCACCTGTTATGTGGCCATGGACCCCTGAACACAAAAGATTATTCCCACACTTTTGTGTTTTCTCTCCTAGTAGGTGTGATAGGCTGCAAATAAATTGATGTGTAACGTAGTGTCAGGTAATGGCTACCCCAAAGACATATGTCACATCCTAACCCACAGAAACTGTGATTGTAGCCTTATTTGGAAAAACAATCTTTGAAGACATCATTAAGAATCTCAAGATTAACTGGATGTGCGGTAAGTCCAATGACTGGTGTCCTTCCTTATAAGAGACAGAAGAGGAGGGGGCGCCTAGCTGGCTCAGTCCGTGGAGAGTACAACTCTTGATCTTGGGGTCATGAGTTTGAGCCCCACTTTGGGTGTAGAGATTACTTTAAAATAACGTTTTAAAAATCTTAAAAAAGAGAGAGAGAAGAGGAAAGACAGACACAGGGAGCAGGCCACATGAAGATGGGGCAGAGGTGGGAGGGACGTAGCCATAAGCCAAAAAACATCTGGGGCCACCAGAAGCTGGAAGAGGTAAGGAAGGATTCACCCCTTGAGTCTTTGGAGGGAGAATGGCCCTGCCCACACCTCAGTTTGAGAAGATCAATTTCTGTCGTGTGAAGTGCACCAAAACTATGGTCACACACACACACACACACACACACACACACACGGCCAATTTCTGGGCATTGTTCAGGTCACACTCTCCTTGTTA